ATGTATTTGACCTCAACGTTTTAGGCGGCACTGATATTGAACATTTTCAACGTCATGTAAATGTGCGTGCAAATTCTCTGCGTTTATATAACCTGATCAGTATGACGAAGCGGAGATCCTTGCTAAATAGAACTGTATAATCAGAGTACTTCATGTAAATAGAAATAGGCGAGATCTATGCACAGTCCAATCTAAATTGCAAGTTGACACGAAGCTTTGCTAACGCGAATAGTAACTGTGGAACAGTAAGGCGAGAGGGAATCTTGCGCAGCGTCGATGGATAAATTATCAAGGCACAACGTTTCCTTTATACAGGATCTCGGACAGAAATTGTCCTTAAGTAACTGCGAGTATGTGACTGGATAGTAAACCGTAGCCTCCGATGCCGGAAGAATGATCGATTGTCAGATTAGATGTTTGGCTTACCACGTTACTGAGCCCGTAATTCGAAGTTTGTCGCGTGCTTCGCTTTTATGATATCAAGCGCAGCGACGTAAACGTCAGGTAAACGGAAAATTTATTAAATGTCTATAATAATAGCGGCTTGTGTAGTTTGACATTCCTTTAATCTTTATCAAAGTAAATCCCTGTGAAAGCGGACACCTCAAAATGAAATAACAATAATCCCATTCTTCGCCAAGTCACCGAAGTTTTTGAAGACCTGTGATTTTATTTAAGAGATAAAAAGTTTTTTTGATTTTTCGAGATAATTGAAATGAGCGCTTGGAGCGGGTATTATATTGGATTAATTTCAAAATAGACGAGATACGTGGGATGCCTAGATGAAACAGTCATATCAAAGACACATAGCTCGTGTTTATATTAGGAAGTCAAATGCCATATTGCGTAATTATTACTCGCAGCAGTATCGTATAAGCTGTATTCCATTGAGACGGTACACATCGAGATGACTTTTCCCATGTGTTAGTTTTGCGAGCAAAAAGCTCGTCAAATACACGTGGAAATCACGGTACATTTACACGGCTTCATCGTTATTTTCGTGTTCTCGGGAGGTCTGGTCTTTCAGAGTCGTTCCTTTTTCCACAGTTCCCGATCGTCGTTAAATCCTCACGTCTCACAGGACGAAAAAAAAGAAAAAAAGAAAGTTTACTGAACAAGAAGTCACATTGAGTGATTACGATGTTCTCTTCACAAAATACTGATGAAAGAGGAGGCACTACAATGACTTTTCAGCATCCGGTTTTAATATTGCAATTTTCATCATGCTGTTATGTTACAAAGCAAGCAGCATTAATCCTTTAAGTTCGCATAATACCATACGTAGGCGAGGTAATGTGAAATAAAAAATTGAAAATATTACGATAATAATAATCTGATATTAACGTATTGATTTATGCCGCCGCGATTAACATGTTGCCTGCCGCGTCACGTATGCATGAGTGACACGTACATTTCACCGGAGGCGGCGCGTCACCCGTATATATGCGATAATCTTATTTATCCCCCGCACAACTGTGATCCGACAGGAACTTTCTGTGAATACAGCCTGGCAATCAACGTTAATGATCTCGAACGTTAATCTCGTGAAAATTATGGTTCATCGCGTAACAGCGAACGTAACCACGACGTCTCCCCGGGAAGAACTCAAGTGCTCGTGGCGCGTTTTAATTTTCTCATACGTCTCGAGTAATGCGTCCCAGAGAAAATATGTACGTATATATTATGTAACGTGTACGAGGTATCCCGCGTGGCATGCTCGTTGCGTGGAGACTGCTTTGTAGTCTGATCATGAATTTTCATGACAAATTCCAGGGGATGTGTATCCATGGATGTAAAAATGTAAAAGCAATGTCACATACAGAGTGTACGTTAATGTGGAATAATGTGCAAAAGCACTACCGTGAGGTGAGGAAAAAGCTGTTGGTGTTACTACTGCCACCGGAAACTTGGAATATGCACTTTGTTGAAATGCTGTTTTCCCCGCAATGCTTATTTAAATTTAATATATTTCAGACATTCATAGCGCACAAAGCGTTCGAATTCGACAGTGCAATCGTAATCGAACCAAAAAACTTAATACGGATCGAACGTGTGAACGATAACAATCGACGTGCGGTATTTGCTGAAATTTTCATCCTTATTTCCTCGCGCGATATTATAATAAGTGAAGGAGCCAATGAATAAGATATCCCGAGTGATATTTTATTCATTGATTTTGAATGACATACTATTCGATAAATTGTTATTCAAAAGATATCTTCCGATATCCCTCAATGAATGAGAATATCCGGCGGATAAATCAGCACAGTCGTGACTCGTCTGTCTCAAGTGCTGAGAAAACAGTAGAACAGGCAATTTCTGGTCAGACCTGCTCACCTTTATTACGAAAAGTGGTTAGGAAAGAACAGCGAGATAGAATTGCTCTTAATTCATTTATTTTCCGCGGAGAATTGATAAAATATTCCCTGTCTGGAATAATGGATTATTCGAATGACTGATATCTTTAGACATTGAAAATCAATAGTGCCAACTAATGGCGTTTCCATAATTGAAACTGTAACCCCAACGTTACGTGACCGCCACGACTTGAATTTCAAAGTAATATCATAGAAAGCATAGTCCTCTCGGACTCGTCTTTTCCACATATATGGGTCATGAATATTTGCTCGGGATAGTCGTTATTATACTGATTTCACTTACAATCGGCCTGTTGCTCATGTCGTCTGTATATAACGCTTGTACACGCGCGCGCGCGCGCGCGCGCGAGCTCATATGTACGACAATGTATCACCGCGAGTCTTTTGTCGTTGGTGACAATGAAACGTTACAATCAATGCGGACAAAATGTCTGTCCCACTACGGAGTACAAACGTACAACCAGTTAACGAAGCTTAAGTAATATCAATGCGCTTTAATTAGCCGCATCTCTTGACCTCAGACACACACACACACACACGTATACCAGTTATGCTCGTAATAGCTCTATAGAAAGCTAATGTGGCGTGGACATAGTAAATTTTGGACACAGACCTGTTGGTTGACGTTCCATTAAACTATATAATATCGCGGAGCATTCTATATGTGCACACGGGCATGGAAAATGGAGATGATTAACAATTCAAATAAACCTAAAATAACAGTTTTGTCGATTCATTAAATTATTAAATTTAATACGTCGTTCAATTTTTCTTTATCTCCTCCCGTGTTGTTTGAGTAGTTAATTAATTCCCCGAGGTGTTAAATAAACCGATAGAGTATAATTAACAATTTTCTGATCGTGATCTCGTGTACACTGGCGCTCGTATTGGTACCGCAAATATTCCATTTGCACGCACTATCGATGAAAACGTGCATAATTTGATCGCCCAGGAAAACTCATTATCATTATTGTATTTTAATTCGTCATGAGTATAATTAACGCTTCTATTTTACATCGTCACCTCAGATTTTAATTAATTAATGCGTCACTGTGCAATATATATTCGCGTTATAAGCTGCATCGAGAATCGATGTAAGCCGTGGACGAAAATTAACTAATGCAAGCCGCGCTGCGCTGCGCTGTGAAAGGATAACGAGCGAAAGATAACGCGTGAAAGATAACAGGATAACAAGCGCGCTACTTTAATTTTAATATGGATCTCGAAATCAATCTTTTAATTCACTTCCTGCAAAATACCGTTTGCTGCTGGCCGTTTCCACGTTGTCCTATCGAATATAAAGGACGGAGAATACAAGACAACACCACTTAGCGTAATTAAATGTATCAAGTTTTGTCCTAGCTCATTTTTCCGCTTAGTAAACTTATGTATATACATATATTATGCACAACATACGTATAAGTGGCAAATGCATTTTCGCGCGGTTACATTTGTTCAGCTTAATTAACACATTTATAATAATATGCGGAATATGCAGAATTCTTTCTGGGTAACTTCTAAAGCTCGTGTTTAATAACGCGTGCACATTTTGTGCAGTGTTGAAACAAAAGTAGTAATTATTTTTTTTCCGCGCTCACTGAGAAATAATATATTGCACGCATGACAAAGCTATATGCACACCTATCTCTCCGCACGTTAAGAAGATGATGAAAAATATCTCGCATTCTTCAAAATGCAAGTGCTTGAGGCATGATATGAGATAAAGGACATTCGTGCGAAAGCTTGCTGCCGAATACGCTTCGTGAATAGATAAAAACGAGTTGAGAATTTTCTTTGAAAACGCAAAGCAGGATCCTCTCTCGAAAGATGTTCCCATTTCCGCGTGTTTGCCGCCTGGAATGTTGTCGGACATAAACGAGTATTCGGATGGTAAAAGCTGCCAGTAAAGCGCAGTCTGCGCGATCCAATCTATTTTTTTAAATAGTCATGTGAGCAACGCGTACTTTTGTGTCGCCGCTGACATTTTACAATAGAAACAGAACTATTATAGGAGTTTTGATACTGCTATTTATTAATGTCTGCAATATGCAAAACAACATTTTCGGATTTGCATATGCAGCGAGCATGCATTCGGAAACTGTTGTGCGAAGTCGCATAAAATAATCGCTCGTGTCTGTATTGTGCAGCTTTGATTTACGCGAGTTTAAAATCGCCACGTAACTAAATGAAATTGTAATAAGGGTCTGCATAGTTAATGTCCTTTGTAAAAAGTAGCGTCGAGAACAAAATCCGCGGTTGAAACGGGAATGCGCTGTCACGAAGAATAGAAGCGGTGCTTAGCGTTTTGATTTATGCGAATTTACAAAGCAGCTAGATAAAATCCAAGAGCAGATGGTTCCGGATTTGTGCGGCTTATAAATAGTAAAACGTCGTATAAATTGAATCCGGTCGAAGAGAAGAATGCGCAAAACGATTTCCGCTTTTCTGTCTCTCTGCGCTCTGCAATATCGTCGATTTGCTTCCGCACGACATTTTTCTGTGCGCACAATGCGACGGTCGGACGCTCTCAGGGGGGAAATCGCGTTTTTTTTTTGCCACGCTCGTCATTGCCGTCACTGCGTTAGGGATAAACTCAATTTTTTGTCGTTTCCTTTGTTGCAGCACTGTTTCGCGATATCGTACAGGAGGGAGAACCAGCGGCAATACGAGCTAAAAGCGGCCACAGAGACGGACTGCAAAACGTGGATCGATGCAATACGAGAAGCTAGGTAACAATGGCTCGCGCCTGAATCGAAGATTGGGCCGATTAAAACGATGCACGCGTCGTCCTGATTTATAGAGATTGCGAACCGCACGATCTCGTAATTCACCGCGATCATCCCGATGACCGTGTGTAACGGGCCGCGCTCAAATTCAAAGCTGCAATTAGATTCGCCGCCGGATGGCGGCGATTTCAGGCTACGCCCGACTGCGCGATTAATTTCATTCGCGAAAAAGCTTCGGGGTTGTCAGTTTTGCAGCGCGCCGGTTACAAAACGAATTGATTTCGACGTGCCTGGAAAAATGAACCACGCCATTGTCGATCTGTAGCTCCGCCGAATCTGTTTCAGATTTAAATCAATTATGCGCGCGGCGCCGGATATTCGATATTTGTTGTCGACACTCCGAACCGACGCACATTGAAACATGATCTTCGATAAAAACGCGCATTATAAAAGTTTCGCGTTCATTCAAGTATATTACACGCGATCCACGTAAGTTTCCGGCGCTACCTAGCGATGGAAACGAACTTTTCATTAATCCGGAATAATGAGCACGGATACTTTTACCTTTTTTTTTTTTTGTTTATCTTTTTTAATGTACACTTTCAACAACGACGTTGCAAGGTAGTTGAAAATCACGCAACTGAAAGTTTGTACGCGTGTACTCAAAAGGAAAACGCACGAGATAATAGAATAATTCCAGGGTGAATAATACAGTTTGCGGCGTAACAAGGCGTTAACTTTGTTCTTCAGCATTGCTCTATTCTATCCACACTCTCTCTTTACTACAGACTCCGTAGAGTCTATACTTTGTCCATTATTCAGGCGACTCCCTTAATCTCGTTGATGTGCTGATAAATACGTTTACGGGCACCGCATTAACATCGAGCCGTCTCAGCCGCCACCTCTCTATTAATCCCGCCGCCGTAATTTGCGCACATTATCGCCGAAGTAATCTTCATCACGCTATCAAACGCATCTTAGAGAGCAGTTACGGACTGGTCATAACAGCTGGTTGTTAAAGAATTTTCAAGTACCGAGGGGATGCGCGAGGGTGCGACATTAATATTGAACGTATTTTTATTTAATGAGATCTGTTTAACTCCAACAAAAATAAAAGTATGGTTGTATAAAAAAGTTTCCATCCACAAATTTTTTTTCTTTTGCATGAATTTTATACAAATTTTCTCCACAAGTATGCAGTTAGTTCGTCTTTGCTTACAGAGATGCCGGTAATTTTCCGCAGGTGTTTCGCGCCAAAAACGTGCTCGCTGATGCTCGCAGATGCGTCAAACGTCATTTTAATGTTTCACGTCATACGATGCGCGTGTTGCGAGAAAAAAAAATGATAATTACAGAAAGAGAGGCATCCATATTTTTGATTGGCACCTCACAGATTATTAGAGAACGTTTGTATTTCGACATAAACGTTATTTTTCAGTTCTTTCCAAATGTTTTCACTTGTTTAATTAAATTAAAATAACTTTTATTTTGTTTAACTGTTGCATGCTTTAATTTTAGAAAAAAATAATTGCATATTTTTTATTAATTTTTAATTAATATTAATTAAATTTGCAAATATATTTTGTTGAGGAGAGTTTATTTATTACAAAACACTACAAATTTTCGCAAAATATTCTGTTTTTTTAATATATGTGCTATATATATATGTATATATTTCACCATGTGAGAAATTATGTACACCGTCCTTCCGCAGTTCTCGTTTTACAGGCCGACTTATACACGTTTGCATCTCAGCGGAGTACCTGCCTTCTCAGATTACCCTGCGCCGCAATATGCATAGATAATGATATCCGTGTTACTTCAGCAATTTCTGCCGTGCCATGCTCGAAAATACAGGGTTGATACTTCTTCGAGTATCTCATGTCACGCGGAAGTTTGATCAATACCGTGATAATTTCTTCATGAACCGCGTCCGTATGCTTGTTTTGCATAAACTCAGAGCTTCCGAAAATGTTATTAGTTCATGCTATGCATTTGCTTGTAGATGAATATCATAGCTATTCATCATGTCGCATTATATCATATTATATCATTCGTTCTATCATATTTATTTATTTATATAAATATAAATATAAATACAGTAACTCAATTTGAAATTTAAATTAGATCAGGAAAATCTTTACCTTTATCTTTTTGATAAAGGAAATATCATGCAATGTTAGCTCGTTACAAGAATTCCAAGTTGGAAAAATGTACTTGAAAAAGATTCGTATTAATATTCCGCGTTCGGTAAAAAGAAATCATATACAATGTTCAGAAATAAGATTTAAGTACGTTCTATATAAGTTGCAATATAAAAAGTGCTTCGTATAATGTTGGGTCACAATTTCGCAATAAATTTAACAAGATATTGAAAGAGATACGCACGTGGCATATCATCTTTCGTGACATGGTCCCCTTCAAGAAGAAATATTAGTCTTATTTTGTCGGGTTTCATTTCATATCATTTTATATTTTCGGAATTGGAGAGAATCAATAGAAAACCTTCTTTTCGTCGAGATTATTTATACCAAAGAAATAAAATGTGTCAGTCAAATATCGTCGATACAAAAGTCAACAAAAGAGATTCCATACAAATTATCGAATAATTTATTTAACGTTAAAATTTTATATTTGTACTGTTGCCACTTGTTAATATAAATATATAGAAAATTTTTTTATAAAGTTTTCTGTTGTTTTTTTTAAATCTATAACTTTCAATTAAAAGTAATTTAGTCCTTAAAAACTCAATATAGAATTTTTTAAATTGTATAAAAAAAGAATAAAATTAAATTCAAACATATATTTTGTTTTCAGACCAGTAAAAAATGTTCGAAATTTTCACGAACCTCTCTTTCTCAGTCCTCGTTGCTGCGGGCAAAAAATCGTAATTTCGTTTTCGTGCAAAATTCCCGGGAATGTGTACTTTGTGCATTTTTCCAGGCCACGTAGGAACTGACGTTTTATTTTCCTTTGTACCGCGAGTCCGTTTAAATAACACTTTTAAGCACGGCACACGGAAAACGGTCACACGCGCCAAGTCTGACCAGGCTTCCTTTTTCTTGGATATTGATTCTAGCTTCAACAAATTGTTGCTGCAAAAGGAGGAGCTCGAACAGAAGCACCTGCACCTGTTGCAAATCGTCGAAAGCGAGAAAACGGCCAAGTGGCAGTACACTCAGCAATGCGAGGAATTGGCGTCGGAAATAAAAAAGCTCCGAGCTGAGGTCAGTCATATCATCCGTATCGCCGTATATATCTATCTCATAATATTTCTCATTGTCAGTAATTCTATACCGTACGCTACGCGTATCTTCATTTCATTCGCTGCATGTATATTTCGTGTATAAACAAATCATCATTTATAACGAGCAATTTTTCTAAAAATTTCCTATATACTGCAGAAGAAAATTTGCATGGTTTTAACGTTTATAACTCATAATATTGCGTAATCTTTCGCAATAATGCACGCAAATAAAATTTTTGTATAATATTCTCTCGAGAATAATAAAATAACAGTTTATACTTTTTGTACAGTTTTTCATGTTGTATTTCTTTTTTTAATATCTTTTTCATAAACTAAATGTCGCAGAAAATAACCGAATCGTTTTCCTCCATATATCCCGTGATATTCCCGTTTTAATTTATATTAATAATAAATGTAAAAGGGTTTAACATTTTATTTCAGCTTTGCATTTTAATTCAAACAACGCCATTGATCTTCGGTCCTTTCATTAATTTTTGTAACGTTCGTAACCTTGATAATTAAATTAATATATCAAAATTAATGAAAGAATGAAAAATATTAAATCCAAACACTCGGTCAACATCTAATCCAAACTTCGTTCGAGCATCCCTACTTGGTTTACTTAAGAAATACAGGTAGATGTTGACTGAGGATTATCGCAAGATTACATCTACGGATTTTGCGATGGCGATTACAGCTATGCGCCTTGAAGAAGGAGCTGAGGCCTTCCATGGTGCCGGCATACACCCGTCGAACAGGGTTTCAAAGAGCCATGTCTCAGGGCACCGCGAGTTTGTACAATGCACATCCATTCGGCAGTGCTTACGCCGCGGGAACGCCTGGATTACGTGGCATTTCGGAGGGTTCCATTGAAATGCAGAAAATTAAGAAGGTTCAGAGCTTCTTCAGGGGCTGGCTATGCCGCCGACGTTGGAAACAGATTGTGGAGCAGTATATCAAGAGTCCGCACGCTGAAAGCATGCGCAAGCGGAACAGGTAATTATCTCTCATCGATGACATCTAAACTTGTTTGCGACTACACTTTCCTCTTAATGGATCCTTGTCGTGCTTCCGCCAGTTTCCGCCGGTTGTACTTTACATGATCATGCAGAAATAAACATAATAGAATTGAAACAAATATTTTAAAAAATGTAAAAAACTGGTATCGAATAACGAAAAAACTCAAGGATGCTTTAAGTAATGATAAAAACGTATTAATTTTTCATGAAAGAAAATTATTACATGCTCTATATGTTACGCATAATTCCAGAAATTTCTTTTATATTTGCGATAGAACAAAATTTGTTAACATTGTTCCTTTTCATGTAATCAGCCATTATTTTCTCATATTCGTTTCATTCGACATAAAATCCTACTGTTATCGATCTCATTTAATTTGTGCTACCGGAGGTATTGAATATATATCGCACTATTTCAGTCTGGTATTTCAAATGGTGGAGGCCGAGGAGGAGTACACGGAGCAGATGGAGATTTTAGTAAGCTGTTTTCTGAGGCCTTTCAAGATGGCTGCCAGTTCAAAGAAACCCCCATGTAGTCATGAGGACGTGAATAGCATATTTTTGAATAGCGAGACCGTGCTGTTCCTTCATCAGATCTTCCTGAAGGGTCTCACTTCTCGTATGGAGTGCTGGCCCACTTTAGTTTTAGGTACAAACTACTTAAAGCTTTAGTGATACAAATCAACACAAATCTATTTTAATTTTAAATTTGTAGTTTTTTTTTTCTTTGACAACGTTAATTCTATGCTAATACGAAAAATATTGTTGCGCACAAATTAATATTAATTTAGATTTGTGTTCTTAATATACATTTTGTTGGAAAGAGAAAGAATTTTTGCACCTGAATTAATCACAATATATTGAATGCACGCAGGTGACTTGTTCGACATGCTGCTACCGATGTTATCGATATATCAAGAGTACGTGCGAAACCACCATTACAGCCTTCAAGTGTTGACTGAGTGCAAGCAATCGTCACCCCCGTTCGCGGCATTGCTCAATAGGTTGGAGAACAAGACTGCCTGCCACGGACGATCCCTGGAGACCTTTTTAACGTATCCCATGCATCAGGTAATAGCCTTCTAAGATCACCACGCGCGAATAAAACCCACGCAATTGTTCTATTCAGTATACAGAAAACAGACAATATGCATCCCTAGAGATTCAAGAGTATACGTTTGGTATTATTATTACGAAGAAGAAAATTAGTATTAAATTTTTCCACGCAATGTTATTTTTTGCAAGAAAACAACACTCTACGCAAAAAAAACATAGAAAATAAAGTAATTATTCCGGTGACACGATTGCGTCTTCAGCAATCGAACGATCGATTGCATAAAATAATTTGAAAATCACGATAAATTGTATGAGATTCTACAATCTTGCAAAACGTTAAGTAAACTCGGTCCGGAAAGATATATTCTCTTACCTTTCTTCAGAATATTTTCGCAAGAAACTTTTTTTTTCTATCTACATATATATATATATTTAAGCAATAACTACCTTTTATTTTATATCTCAAACATTAAAAATTAATTAAAATCTTTGACAAGTCCCGTCATAACTTTGCTATTAATTATTTTCTTTCTTTTTTGGGTTTCTAAAAAATCTTAGTTTAAGTTTGAAAAATTTGTAATGCAGCTAAGTTTTTCTATTTACTTTTCTTTTTCAGATTCCCAGATACATAATTACTTTGCACGAGTTATTGGCGCACACGCCGTACGATCACGTGGAACGTAAGAGCCTCCAGAATGCCAGGCAACAGCTGGAGGATCTCTCGAGACAAATGCATGATGAGGTATTTGTTAATCAATACACGGGAATTATTGATCGCAATCTATTGCGTAATTAATCTAATATAACCCGTCTTTCAGGTCAGCGAGACTGAGAATCTGAGGAAGAATCTAGCCGTGGAGCGAATGATCATCGAAGGATGCGACATTTTATTGGACGTCAATCAGGTCTTCGTTAGACAGGGTGAGTGCATCACTACTTTTTTCTCACAGTCCCTTTAAAAAAACTTATTTTAAAATTATTTTAAAGCAAGATTTATTTTAAATTTAAAAATATTGCGTGTATATGAAACGCAAGAAATTTATTAAAAACTAAATACCAGAAAATAATTTTTAAAATTTAATAAATCGTATACTATTCATATGATGTGCATAGCAAATATTATAAAATTTTTATTTTTAATTTTCATTAAAACCTCATCTACTTAATTTGGCTTTTCCACTTAATAAAGTATAATATTTTCTGCATTATTTATTATTTGAAACAGAATCAATTAGTTATGTCTGTTAGTAAAACGGATAAATTATTACTTTATTTCACTTATGAAAGATTATTTTCGTAATATAAAATGAAACTGTAAATTAAAAACAATATTCATTGTTTATGCAAATAATATTTTTTACTTCTATTTACTTGAATAACTAAATTATTATTATCTTAAAACAGTACACGGAATTTTTTTACATCTACGTGAAAAAAGATCTATATAAACATGACATAAGTAAAATGTGCACAATTCACGAAGACATCATCGTGATATCTATTAATCCAAATTGAAAGTTTCAATCTAGTTTGAATCGATAAGATGGAGACTGCCAATAACTTGTCTATCCTTCATGACTTATCCTTGGCCGGAAAACTCAACCCTAAACTTGATCGCTGTCGGTAAAGAACTTCGACGAGCTTTCTGTCGTTTGGGACATTAGAGAGAAAAAGCGGAAACGCGGATTAAAAGGCGCAAGCGCACAGTTGCATTTTCGGAATCGATGACGCGACTTGGTGGCGTCGACATATTTTCGCACTCAATTTCGTCTCGATCCTGCGCAATGTGTCCTGCCAGGGCTGGCGTACTGTCGTACTACTGGCTGGCGAGCTTTTATTAGAGCTTACGACTGATTATATATGGTTGATTATATATCTCAATAGTGAAAAATTGATATAACGATATGTATGCGAAATGTTACAATTACAAAAATTACAATTTTAATAGTTATTACACAAATGTAATTAGAATGAAGTAACTTCTTCATTATCTAATCATTGTGATTAGCAAAGTCGTCCAAAAGTTGATACGATTAAAATTTTAAATACGAGTTAAAAATGTCAAATAGTAATTAAATTAAAATAAAACGTTTGACATTAAAACAAAATCTATATCGGCACAAAAATTCTATATTGAATAATAAAATTCATTGTCAGAAACAAAACAAAAATTAAGTTCAAACGAGCAAAGTATCGTATCAATGGTTCAAGTGTCAATGTCAAAGTGTCGCGTTCGATCTAAGATAGTAAGAAACTAAGTAGTACAACGTTATTTTAAGTAGTAAAAGTCTCAGCCTAAGCCGACCCGGTACAGCCCTGCTACCTCCCGTACTTGACGCCACATCACATGGTTATCACGCAAACGTCCCTCGATCGCCAGCAGCAGAACAACCCCTCCCGCGAACGCGATCGTTTCTCATTTACCTGCTTGGCCTACCGTCGCGGCGAAAAATCAGCCGGCACGAACACTCGCGCGACACCGCACTCTCCGCTCGCGAGCGAAGAGTTCAAGCTCATTCGGGGTCTGTCCTTGTGGGGGATGTTCGGCAGTGTCGCGAGGCTGGGGGTCGATGAACGGACGAAAATAAGCGGCGGCCAGTCCGTGCCGTTGCCATTTTGTCGATCCATCAATCCGGCGCGTCTTAACGCGCGCGAGGAGTTTCACCACAGGAGTTTCGCGGCGTGGTTTTGCGCGAGTTCGATAATGTAGCTTCCGATAGCGAGCAAGGAGGGACCAAGCAGTGTGTGCGACGCTGGTATCAGGGACCAAGAGTAATCAGGAATCGGAGGATCAGCTGTAGTTTTTCGTCTGGGTGCACGTAGACACCGGCAGAGGACCATTAAGTTCGATCGCTAATTAAGGTACGCGCGTGATCCTTCATTCGATAACGCTGGACGGAGAATTTCAATTAAAAGACCTAAAAATCCTGCATAAATAAACTGATTACGTCCACTGTCACAAAATTACTTTCTTCGAACAAATATTTTTAGCAGAATTTGATCTATTTATAGAAATGCAGCACGCAATATTCTTTTAAAACAAAATTATCGAAGATATCCATTGTTAGTTAACGTAATTGATTAAGGTGAGTACGTTGGAAATGATTAATGCGCCTTTAAAGAGATTGTAACATTTGTTTCCTAAATATCTCGCATCTAAATTCGTCTCACCACGTCTGTTTTTTTTTTTTACTCGAAAGACAATCCAAAAATTAAAAGCGATATAATTTCAGCGAGCTCGGATTTAGATTTCATGTTTCTCGATAGTATATCTCGTCACATCTGTAGCATCGAAAATTGAACTCGGCGAAATAACGCCGGTTTCAGTTTCTGCGTCCAACGTCAGCAACAACCTTGACGCCGTGGATACGATACTGCGAATTTCGCATTCATCCCGGCAACACACTCGCCGTGTTATTTTTAAACGCACGTCGATGGCCTCCCCTAATTGAATCGATTATTTTGAGAAAGCGCACTGGCTACCGGTATCAGAGCTGTCAGGATTGGAGGGAGACGCGAAGAGGGTTGGAGCTATTTTTATCGACGCGGCGTTATTTCCTCCGGTTCCTTCGACTGTATCAATAATAATCGCGCGAGACTGACGCGTTGGCGGGTCCTCGACCGATTGCGTGGATTTGACCCAATATTTTATGTTTCAGGTACGCTCGTACAACTCATAGACAAACCGCGCGGTGCGCGAAGCAGATTGAGTGCTACATTCGGCGGTAAATCAAATGACAAGGAGGTTTCCAGACAGTGCTTTCTCTTTTCGAATCATCTGCTGCTCACGACGCGCCAGTCCGACGACGACGGTCGCTTAAATTTAGTCCCGCAGGTCGGCAAGATACCTCTTTCCGACGCAGTACTGATTGAAGACCCGAGCGATCAGGGTGCCGCGGATGATGATGGTAATTCTTCGTTCAATGACAAGCTAATGATCTGTTAGCTTTAAATTTCGTCAGCTTTTTTGAAGATCTGAATTGATGACACGTAAATGTTTTGTTCGACGTAAAAATTAAGTTACTCATAATTTACAAATATGAAGAAAATTACAAGACGGTAATTTTTTAAATTATTTTATATGCAACATAGTGTTCCTTTTTAGTTTATAATCCATTTTATACACTCTATTTTTCTATTTTCTGGTTTGCAAATTGTTTTAACAGTGCGTTACGGAAAGAATAGTGCGGTCTATATTGTGAAGTATGCTTCAAATGACAAAGCTCACGAGAATTTACTCAGTGCTACGGAGTAGCGACTGTGAACTGATTTTAGAACTGTCAGTATGTTCGATGTCAAGCGGCATCAGCGAGAGTAGCGGAAGCGGCAGCGGCAGCGCGACGACTTCCCAGTTGCAGAATCGCGACTTCAAAATCCTACTGGACGTAAAATCTGGCGGACCGCAGGTGACCGTCCATCTCGTGGCGCCTACTATGCAAGTAAGCCCTCATTGAATTGCAAAATACATTGAAACGTTATAATTTCTTTGGAACTCTGTGTTGTATTTTTACGTCCTGTTCGAACTTTGAATCGACTACTTTAAGAATCGTGGAATTATAAAATTGATAAGACATTTTTCGTTTAATTATGCACGTGCTGTTACATGCTACATCAATTTGCTAACAGGAAAAAGCTGCGTGGATCAGCGACATCAGCCAGTGCATGGACAACGTTCACTTTAACGATCTGCTCCACGGATCGTTGTCGGACACCAGCTCTGTCACGATGCCGCAATCCATGCGGAACGACCCGAAGCTGTTCAAGGACGGCGTGGACATCAGATTCAGTCGTACCTTAAACTCCTGCAAGGTGCCGCAAATCCGTTCCGCAACGCCGGAACGTTTGTTGCAGCGACTGACTGACCTCAGGTTCCTCAGCATCGACTTCCTCAACACATTCCTGCTGACGTACCGGGTGTTCACCGACGGTGTCACCGTGCTCGAAGCCCTCAAGAAAGTTTTCTACGAAGCCGAGCCACCGGATGCGCAAATGCCCACCGGATCTCTCGTGTAAATATTGTAAACGCAGATGCTGGCTTAAATGAACTTGGCTTTGCGAAATCATTCGAGAGTGAAATGGGATGATTATATCTTATACATTTGTATTTTAGATCTCTAGATGTATTAGGAGCAAATGCAAACGACTCGCTATTGCAGTCAGAGGAGCGAAGGAGAAGCAGCTTTTCGCCAAGACGAACTAGCGGTGCAAGTTCAGTATCAGGTATACCTACATTAAACTCCGTGCTATTGACAAAAAATCTATTATTAATCCATGAAAAACGATCTAAGCTAGTTGCAGTCTGCTAACTAATAGTGTTTCGTGTACAGGATATGGCTCGGAAGTGAGCGACAGTCGTGATGCGAGGTCCCATGGGTCTTACGACGCTAATATGAGCGGACATAATTCGAAAAGTCATTGGCGGTCAAATTATAAAAAGCGTGAGTATTTCAAGCATGTGTCGTGATTTAACTAAGCAGGATATTATCGAGGATTTATCTAAAAAATTGAATTGTGTAATAAAATCTTTAAATAATTTGCATAAAGGCAATTGTGTATCGGAATGCAATTTAGAAGAATTTCTGTGTTTAGTGGAAGAAGAACAATCTCTCGGACTGATTTCCGAAACTCCAATCATAAAACGTAGTCCAATGGTACAATCATCTAATCCATCCAGCACGTCGCAGTCCCCGATTACACCACGAAAAGTCAGTATTCGCACGGATAATAAAGAGGAGAGCGACAGATGTCATCTCACGATACCGAAAGTGATAGCTGTGTCGTCAAGCTCTGAGACGCTAACAGGTATTTATATAAAAGGATTAATATAAAAATTCACAAAGCCACTAAATTTAAAATACAAAACTATATAAAAGTAATGAATAATATAAATCTAACATGTAATATTAATAAATATTTACATAATTTAAATATTAATAAAAACAAACCAAAAAATTTTAATCACATTAAAAAAATTGAGCAAGGCTCTTATATTTCGTAAATATTAGAAAGAAAAAAAGAGGCCAGATGATAAGGACATCAATGTGAAATTTATTACATTTTATCTTTCGGTAAATAAAATTGTACCATAATTAATATATGAAAATTTGCAAATATTAGATGTCACAGTAATCAGTGCACCGTCCTCGCCGAGTAACTTGAGCTCCGTGACACTAGTTGGCTCCACAGGATCCGGATCTGGATCCGGATCGGAACCGAGTCCTCAAGATGGAGGCACTTATTCGCGCGGTGTCTCAGAGGAAACCGACACACCGATCGCAATGGATGAGGATGCAGGAGGTAGAATTAAATTTTAGAAAACATTAGCCTGCGTACAAAAAAAAGAGATATGTTTGCTGCTCTACTTACGATTTTGTCATTAATCGCTATTTAGAATTAGAATTAGAAGGCATGAAACAATCGAATAACAACTAATTACAGGAGCACGATTTGTTTATGATGCATCGTCACGATCACTATCGATCGAGTCTGCCAAGCCGGACACGCCGAAAACACCTATTTCTCCGCTAAGCAAGGGAACCGAAACGAAGAAAGAGGAGCAAGCCACGACGGCTGACGATGAAAATATAAGCTCCCCTAAGCCAGTCAGTCAACAGAGTCAACAGCAGCAACAATCTTCAGAGCACAGGTCGTCGATCGCTTCCACTTCATCGTCCACCGCAAGAAGCAGTTCGATCTCCACCATAACTGGCGTATGTGCGATAATAAAAATGTGTCGATTTAAGATTTTATCAGACTAAAAACATTTAATATCTTCTCAATTCCTGTTAAATGTATGTGTGAGTTTTTAAAATGACTTGATAATATAGATATATTTATATTTCCGATTTCACTGTAAATATATAGATATATTTATAGAAAAATCGGAGCTTTGGTTCAATGAGCTTCTGTAATTTCGCTGGATGGCTTTGCAGAATTATTGGTCAACCAGACGATCCATGCAAGAGGAGAGCTCATCGCAGCAGAGCAACTTTCAGCACGAGCAAGTGTCCAGCAAGGCTGGTGTGGTCATAACCAGTTTTCGCCAGAGTCATCGAAGGTTCGTTTTAACAATCTCATTGCGTGCTGTCTGCACTCTATCCTACCTCTAAGACTTGAAGGCGTTCCGTATCGATAAAAATTATCTCTATTTCGTTCTCGCTGAATGTTGAGTGCCGTAAATGGCAATTGTCGCTTTCTAACGCATGAGAGCTTTTTCTTAATATCATGTTTTATTTGTCGGATTTATAGTTAAATTCATTTTTAGAGAGAGAGGAATTGAGATAGGAGAATTTTAGAAAAAAAATAGTGTTCTACATAAAATGTATTTAGTATATATTTTTGGATAGTTTAGCCAATAAGATATGATAGAGAATTTTATATTTGACATAATTCCTCGCTCTGCAAAAGCTCATTTTTCAACGTCCAATCTGCAAAAGATATCTGACTATAGTCGAGTTGTATCTATTTGTATCGGAAGAATTGTAAATATGTTGTAAATATGTGAAAGTTTGTGTTTTGTTTTGCAAAAGCCGCATCATGAACAACTTTTAAAATTTATTTCTGTGCAATATATACTTCTTAAATAATTTGTACATATGTTGATCTCTTGATTTACTTCATAACTGATAAATAAAACGTTAATAATAGTCATAATGCAAAAAAATTCTTATTTTAAAATTCTTGTACCATCCTGTCCGATGAATTATATCACCATGTTTGAAATCGAACTCGAAATCAAAAAGAGCAATCCCTTAAATCAGGAAAATACTCCCACAGCTGTTTCTACTCAACTGTATTTCATGTGTTGTTTTGTGTCACTCATAGCATTGGACCTGAACCTCTCTGGTAAGTGGGCTCATTTTGAAAGCGTCATTATCCACTTGTTACGTGTGGCATGACAACGATCCTTCTTCTGCTTGTGGCATCGTTAGAGGAAAAAGAAATCCAAAATGTCTGTTTTGCATTCCGTGTCATTATTATGAATATATGATTTGTCTAAGCTGCAGCAAAAATCGAAACATCATACAATCCTCACGCGCGACTAATCGCGCCGATTGATTCCGTCACTCACGCGTGATATCTATTTGGCCGTTTATAGAATGCACCATAGCAAACGAGCGAACGGACCAAACGAAATAGAAATAGTTTTTACCCGATAGCCGCCTTGGGTGTCACTTAACATGCGTGCTTTATAGTGTTGAATATTCCAAAGGATTTGGAACCGGCAATAATTCCGCCGTGTTTGAATTTCGATGCTGCGGATTGTCAGTTTGTGTATTTATTCATGGCGGACGACGGGACAATTGGCATTTAATGCATTATTCCGTATTTATGACATCGAAACCTAAACTCACCGAAATTATGCCAGTTGCAATTTCCATTCCAAATACTTCGGCACAATAGTGAAGACTAAAATTTGTTTTAGCAAATCGAGGTGCACATTAGATATTATTTGCTTAAAACTTTCACAATTTCAAATTTGGATGTGCATCGATGCTTATATACAACACAGATATAATTATACAATAAAGTGTGGTTTTTCAAAGACAAACAATGATAGAGAAGACAATAAGAGCCAGAAGTGCGGAGCGCAGCAACCATTGATAAAAAACGTTTCAGCCGCAATTTCGAGTTCTCAGTTTGATAAAATACAAAAGAAGGGAAAAATTTACATAAAAAAAAGATTTGCATATAAAATAGAAAAACATACATAAAAGCAGTTAAACTCAAACAATGTAACAAAAACTCACCGACCACACGCGCTACACTGACCGGCACGATATGTCAGAGCAAAGTGAATTTATTCGGTCGATGAATTCAGTCTTTGTTACATTGTTTGATTTCAATCGCTTTTATGTATTTTTTCACATTATTTATTCAATCTAAATTTTTTCCTTGCTTCCTTATATTTTATCAAACAGAAGAAAGCCTGAAATCATAGTCAAAACGTTTCTATATCTCAGTTAATGATGGCTAATAGTTTTTGCGCTCCGACAATCGCGCTTCTGATTTTTATCGCACTTTTTTTATCGCACTTCTCTATCATTGCCTGATATAATTATGTTATGATATAACAGTAGAAACACGACGATCACCAAATTCTTTCCTCAACATCGCGCCGTTCCTCCAGCACAGGAGCATGTTTAAAATGCATCGCGAATGAATCGCCGATCGAAATAATATGCAAACATAATGTAGAGTGTAGAATGAACGCATAGATCACCGGGACGGAAAAATAATAATAATTCGCGAATAAGATTTCTATTCAATGAATATAATCCCAATCGAAGTTCTATACTAAAATTATTTTCAAATGTAGGAGCAGCACGTCCACGGCGGCGGCCGCATTCGCCATCGCGACTTCCGCTTCGAGCAATCCACCGGACAAAGGACCCGCGAACGACGCAAACAATCGTGCCTGTCGGGACAAAAACAGGCGGAAGGAATCGATAATGTCAACCGCCGCGACGATGAGAGTGCTGAACGTCCTGAGGCACTGGGTGTCCAAGCACGCTCAGGACTTCGAGCTGGATCAGAAACTGAAGAGCCTGACCATCGAGTTCTTGGAGGATATCAGTTACAGTCCCAATCTGCTGCCGGCTGAACACAAGGCAGCCAGTCAACTGCTCAGGCTAATTACCAAAGAAGAAACCGAAAGCAACAAGATCGACCTGGCAAAACTGCTAGCTCCGCCACCAGTAAGAAACGAAATAATTTCTTTCCTGTTTTTTATCTCCAAATACAAAAGAAAGTAAAGAAACTTTTAAAAGATTTGATTCCTTAAATGTCCTTTTGCTTTTTAAGTTTTTCTAGTATATTCGTTCAACATTATTTAGTAAAAGGAAAAAATATAGTAACTATTAAATACATATTTTATATTCTATGGTGAAATAACAAAAAAGGCAATAAGAATCAGAAGCGTAGATGTTGGAGTGCAAACAATTTTTAGTGTCTTTTATGCTTTAACATCCGCGCTTCTGGTTCTTATTGCATTTTTGTTACTGCTTGTCTTTGAAAAATCATATGTGTGTTATATTCACGGTAAAAATTAGCTTACTCTTCGTAAAGCTTAGTTCAATATAATTGTAATATTTAATTTAATCAAAATCTACTGTATTAATTGATAACAAATCACTTTCAGATTCCAAGCAGAGAGAGCATAGAGACGCTATCTGCGCTTGAGATCGCGGAACAGATGACATATCTGGATCATCAGATATTCATTTCTATCGCCAGCGAGTAAGTAATAAAGCGTCGAATCTTGTTTTCGTTTTAAATACATAGAAATTCACGTTGCGCAGAGAATTTCTCGGACAAGCGTGGATGAAGCCGGATAAGGCAACTCGCGCGCCTCATATTCTCCTAATGACGAAGAGATTCAACGAGGTGTCGGAGTTAGTCCTCTCCGAAATTATTCGTCGCTCTAACATGTCGGCTAGAGTCGCGGCTATCGAGAAATGGGCCGCCGTCGCCGATATCAACAGAGTTCTGCACAATTACAACGGCGTGCTACAGATTTGCGCGGCGTTAGCGAATAGCTGCGTGTTCAGGCTGAAGAAAACTTGGGATAAAGTTTCCAAAACGGTAGAATAATCAGATTTTTAGATAATAACAAATCTGTCTTAATATGCAACTCTCAATATAACTGCCATTGATATCCAGACAAAGCAGACGATAGACAGACTGCAGCATATCGTCTCGTCTGACGGACGATTCAGAAATTTGCGGGACGCCTTGCACCGATGCGACCCACCCTGCATCCCTTACTTGGGTCTCTATCTCACAGATTTGTCATTTATCGAAGAAGGCACTCCAAACATCACCGAGGACGGTCTTTTGAATTTCTCGAAAATGCGAATGGTAAGCAAATGCTCCCTCAAACTATTTTTTTAGAGTTTAATTAGTTTCCCGCTGTCGCAATGAAGTGGAAGATGATTAAATCAAATTCAATGATATATTGCTACTATTAAATTAATCATTCTATGCTATTACTAACCACATTGAACAAGCTGAGAATAGAAGATGATATCACATGCCTTTTCAGATCGCCCATGTTATTCGCGAGATACGACATTTCCAGCAAACCCCCTACAAGATCGAATTAATCACTAAAGTGACCAACTATCTGCTGGACCCGGCGCTCCTGCTGAACGACAAAGACTTAGATCGCATGTCCTTGGAGATCGAGCCGAGAACGTCCAGATTGAGTAATGCTAATATAATCAATCCGCCACCGCGTCCATGAAGTGAATTGGCTTCGTCGCGAAAAATCGTAAGACAGCTATAGTTCAACTCCGCTTTTGTTTCGTAACAGACGAAAAAGATTATTCGAGAGAATTAACTATTTGTTGCGAACGGCCGATCGTCGCGAATGCGACACGTCGTGTCGTGTTTTCAACCCCGTCCACTTCTGTCCACTTCCGCTTGTAACGTTGTGACGTTCACTTACGTTGTCATTTGCGTTTTCACGTTTCGCGATATATTTGCGCAAAGCGTTAGACATGTAAGCTCAACAATGATCTCATCGTCGCACAGAATCGGCCTCTTATTTGTGGAAGAGAATTTATCGATTGATAGATATAGTAATTGCAGTAAACGTGAATTGATTAGATTTCGATGGAATTTCTGTGTTGCTAAAATTATTATCTGTTGTCTGTATTAATTATTCTATTGCTGTTTTTTTTTAGTTTTAAGGCGGTGTTCTATTGATGCTATAATTGCAAAGTTGCAAATGAGAGAAGAAGAAAGTCATAAATTTTTTTGAGAATACTTAACACGGTAATACAAGTATTTTATAATTTCAGACGATTAAATTACGCGTGGCTGTAAAAACTGCTAGAGAGCGATGGAACAAAAACTTTACTTAATGAAGATAATGCTTAATGCTCTCTCCATGCCGTCAATTTGCGAGGAAAATAATTCGAAGCTTGAAACTGTGTGTGTGATCGGTTTGATCTGTCTGATAAATGACGCATACTTCACAGATTATCCGAATTCTTTACGAGATAGAGGTTAGCATTGACAAAGCGATCTCAGTGAGAAAGCAACAAAAAAATTACTGATTTTAATTTAGCCCAGCTCAATCATGCTAGTATTATTATGCGAAGCATATAAGCAGTTCAAGTAAGTATCTTTAAGATAACAAATGAGAGAAGCGTAAGAGGTGATTGGAGATTGTACTCTGACAATCAATAGCATAAAGATATCGTTTTTTTTTTTTTTTTTATATTTATTCCAATTGTTGCTACGAGTTTCAAAGCAAAAAGCTCGCTTGTCAAGCAGTTGAAAACTAATTTCCCAACCTTTAATCATCCTTTTCTAAAAGTCTATGAAAATATCTTATCAATTGTATTGCGATATATCTCTCATATTCTTAAATCCGCAATATCGACATTTTTTCAAACTAATATCCCGGTGCTGATTCCGGCTTGGTACTTGTTAAAGTTAATATTTATGCATCCAAAGCTGCAAGTTTCCTCTGTTTGCCAAGTGAGGTACAAATCTTATATGGAGATACACACATATCAGCTATATTTGATATAATTCCAGATTCAATGTCTCACTTGCCCGCCTCTATATTTTTATTCAATATTTATATCTATATCAAGAGACAAGTACACGACCAGGTAGTTCGGCGAGAAAACCGAGATTCCGTTGACCACACACTAAAGAAAGAGGCGGGATCTTACAAGCGAAATTTATATACATATATTATATATATACAAATCTATTTTTAACTTTACGTTTACTAAGAAATTCTCGGATGCGTTTCGGCGTCCGCAAAACTCGATGTTCTCATTGTGCGAGGCGCATACGATCCTTTTGAGCGCAAACACGGGAATCATGGCGTGCGGACCACGCGTTTCTAATCAAATACAAAGGTTTCCCTCCAAGTGCCATCTTCGAAGAGGCAACGAACAAAATCCAAGCTACTCGCGTTTGCATCTTCGTGCAAGTAATACACTTTGACCGTTTGACTATCGAGGACACTTATCAGATTGTTATCGCAATTGTTCGTCGACATTAATAAGTTGCCACTAAATTTATCTTTCAGCGCAGTAATATATAAAATATGTACAATGAATAAATGTTGAATTTTATATAAATATAAAAACGGAAAGAGAAAAACGCGGATCACGTTTATTGGCCAATTTTCTGAATCGCAATAAAGAAGCGCCGACGCGCTCGTTCTCGGATAAGAAATGAAAGAAAGGTATGTCGTTCCTTGATGGTCAAACAATTTAAGGACCAATGCGTATTATACGAAGTAACACGTTGCCGGCACATCGATGTAACGTCAAACATTCAGACGTTATAACAATGTAACGGAACGTGTCGTTTTATATAATGTGCATTGGCCTTTCAGCTATCGTTAAAAGTCGACTCGACTATAATCTCCGGGTGATCCGCAGACCATGCATGCATCTTATGTCTCCGGAAGGTATCGGTTATGGTTTGCACGCTGTCCTGATTTTTCAGTATGTGATACTGTTATGGGTAGACTTGTAAGTCATGGAAGAAAAGAGTACTTCTCAATTTACACGATTTATCAACCTCCCGAGAATTCCACGTTAAATTAAATCGATTAATGAGATAAAATTCCTTTTGCAAAGGAAGATTTTAATTTTTCCCTGGTTGTTATTCGTTAGAGAATTAACAAACAAATTAATCGTGTAAATTGCAATTTACTTGCAGAATTTAACGACGCTTCAATTGACTCGTGTTGCGCAAGCAATGTTAAACGTTCATTGTACAGCGGCGAAAATTATTCCAGGATCTTGTGTTCATCTGTAAATTTTTTTAATAACTACGAAGCGTCTGAGGAAACAAATATATTCTCCACTGGAAGTTCAAAGATACGGGGGAGGGGAGAAAGCTGGAGAAATAGAACTCGCGATCGAACGTTTACGAATTTTACGTTTACGGGTGTGGATAATTTTACAATTAGAGCACGGAGCATATCACTGTCACAATCAATATCGTAATAATTATTAATGTCCCTTAGATACCGAATATTCCCGTTCGCTCAAGCGGCTATAAATTTCAAGATGTTGCATGTGATACGTCTCGGCATAAATTGACTGCTGATTTCATACTGCATCGTCGCGAGAAACTGCGTTCAAAATGCATTAGAAAAACTGTGTATTAAAATTATTTCACGTAATTATATCTCGAAAGAAATCTCTTCAAGTTTATACGAGAGAGAAGTTTTAGCTTGGAAATATCTTATTCTTGGAAACAATCGCTTTTTCGGCACTCAATGTGCCTGCATTTGAAACACTCAAATTTATACAATTCGTGTTCCCGCGATTTTATTCCGACCGCGCATCGTCGCTGTCTTCTCTGTGATTTTAATGCCAATTCCTCTTACGACTTCATTGTTTTACCGTCGCGAACAATCCAAACCAAGGGTGGGCAACGCAAAGCCCCTTCTACTGATAAAATGGCCCGTATAATAGCAGTATGAAGTGATATAACTGCGGTTCAGTAAAATGAAAACATCATCAAAAAACCGGTATATATTAGTAATTTTACGTTTAGTTTTAGCATATGGTATATAATACCTGAAGTTACATTTTTGGCGGAATCGTGGCAGAAGCTTAACAAATTTTTTGCAATGTCAAGTTTTAAATTAGATTTTTTCGTGATATTTTAATTTTACTGAACGGCAACAGAGTTTTGGGATAGCCTTTAGAAATATTGTACCTATAACGCGCCATTCGAAAACGTTGCCCGTCTCTTATCGAAGCCTTGTGCCAATTTGAGGGAAAATTGCGCGACGAGCGAGAGTCGACTGCATCAACGATTCTTATTAGAGTAATTCTAATAGCGATCCCACATCCCTTTTTAGATTGTAATTCAGACTATGATAGTATTAAAAATAGAATATATTGAAATAATTATGTGAATAGCGCTAACTGATGTCGATGCAGTCGACCCTAAGAAAAAAATGTCAAAAAAAAAAAGAGAAAATACGGTTTATATTTAAAATTCAGAACATTTTAACGTGTATCTGTTTGCTGTATTCACGTTGTGTAGCAGAACTGTCCAACTAGGCGTTTCTGAGCGAGCATTTCTCTCTTGTTCGTCTCCCACTCGCTCGCTCATGCAAACGTCGCAAGTTAAACAGTTCTGTCGTATCACATAGAAGAATATTTTCTAACTAGAATGTACAAAGATAGGATTACGATCGGTTAATGTCTTTTACAAATTGCTGTCTTGATAATTCTTGGTCATCCTATAGATATTATCTTGTTTGGTCATTGCGTTAAATGTTATTAACTTTGTGGAATAATCTTGTTTAGTGAAATTTTCTATTCACGTTTCACTTAACGTGAAGTGCCATTTAAGCATTTAACAAATATCTACGTACATTAAACGTTTTTATGGCGGCAATTTAAAGATTATACTGGTTTAATAATTAAATTAGTTTAACAGCCCTTTTTTCTGTTAAATTAGTTTAATAATTGAACTAATTTAATTATTAAATTAATTTAATTGTTAAATTACACAATTAATTCAAATTGAAATTATTAATTGTTATTGTGCGAACGCACAAAGGAATGCATGTCGTTCTTTTATGATCAAAGTGCCAACGAAGTTGCTGTTCTGTTTCGGCGATCATTCTCCAAGTGTACCTTCAAACTCTGAATACCTCGTTCAGGAAAAAAAAATTGCGAACTTTATTAGCGCATTTTCGCACGTACTGTGCATGTATTCGTATTTACGTGGCATTCTCGTGAAACTCACGTGGGCGCTATATAGATATCAATATGTGTCACATACACTTCCTTGTACATAACTCTAGTTACATATTGAACATGCGTTGCGTTAGGCAGCCATTATCGTTGTTGATAGATCTCACTGTACGAAGGATGATGATTATCGATTGACGCGATTACTATTAATGTCACGCCCAAATATAACATTACATTATCGCGTATGTATAAGTACGATATGTCATTTCATTATATTCAACTGACGATCGTGATAAAGTATTAAGGTCTCCGCTCCTTAATTTTTGTGCAAGCGCGAATCAGAAATTTTCATTAACCAACTGCTGATATAAAGGGAACTTCGATGTCACGGCAATTTAGTTTAGCGCCGCGATTCATAATGCAAAAAGCTACAATCAAATTCGTAATTGATGAGAGCTGCTTTTCATCGTCGATGGAAATGCGGCTAACGGATTTGTTATATATATGCGATTGGAAAAACTGTTAATAATTCAAGCTTCGATTCTGCGAAGCCGAAGTAGTTTTAGCATTCATTATCCTGCACGAAAATTTTAAAAAATGATACGCGGGGAGTATAAAAATAAAATTGCTTTTAAATTATTAACTCAATACAATCACAGTCTTTGCATAATACGGACATTAATCTGAACGTAGAATTAGTCGAGCTAAAGCATTAAAATAATGCGCAGGAAACGTTCATTGTATTTTAATCTCGATATACGATCTTTCAATTTTAGTCAACGTAATTGTTGTTAAAAACTATGATGTAATGATTACGGCTAATTACGGTACTGTCAAGTACCATCTTAACCAAAGTTACCTCGTTCCTTATTGTCGATGCGGCACTATAATTGTCTGTTTCTTCAATTATAAAATTATCTTGTGCGGTGATAATTAACCGATCTGAATTGTCAATCGCGACAACAGCTACAACATCTTTTAATATGATAAGATCTACTTCTCCGCCAAACAAATGTAGTACCACCAAAAATGAAAAAATTGCTTAACGGTAAGCGTAAGCATAACACAGAAGAGAGTAAGACTTGTAAAAATTTTCAATCATTTCTCTATTATGCACAAATTAATGACAGATATACAGACGCAAAGTTGAATAAGCTAATCCGATGGAAATCACGATCTCTTAGTTTTACAATATTTATTATTTCTCCAAAAGTATTTAAATATTTAATATATTTGTTTGTTTATTAATTCGAAATCTTTCCTAATTTAAAATACGTTGCAGTCAATTTATTCTGAAGATACATATTTTTGAGAAAAGTTTCATAAGTATTGTAGTTGCACATTTTTACGTAAAAATAAAATAAGAGTTGCAAATTTTGAAACATTCTTTCACATTTACGATACGTGACGTTGCAACATTCCTTTTCATCCATTTCTGGTTATACAAGTTAAGTGCGAACGGTTGGAGAAAGATTCGCGATAGAAAGGATTTTTGGTAGGGAAATACCGCACGCGCGCAAGAGTAAAAAGTTTCGCACGTATTCTCCGTTCTATTTTTTGAGTGGCTCTTAAAGTACACTCGCGCGAGAAATGTATTGTTGAAAGAGAACGAGTGAAGCTTTAGAATCCGTGACTTTTTAAGTCCTTGCATATCTTCAGTCCTAACTTCCTGAGTGTCTTCGATATCCGCGGTATTCCACTTTGCGGACTTTCTCATTTTCTTTGTTATAGTCTAACCAAAGTAGATTAAATAATAGATACGTTCGAAAAATTGCGTATAAGTGTAACAAGATGTGTAGTAAGACAAAGAAATATTCTGGAGATTTGTATCTGATTTTTTGAAAAAGAAATAGTAATTATTTTGAGAGCTTCGAGAATTGGTTGATGTTTCGAATCTTTAGAGCAAACAAAAAAGTTAAGGTAATATTTATATACTTCATTTCTACACTTAAAATTTTTTCACACAAAGTCTACATTTTGATATTTTTTATAGTGAAATTTGTCTCTTTCGTCTTTTTGCGCGCGTCTTTGTAGATTATAATTGTTATAGTAAATTATAAATCTTTGTATATTTATTTTTGATGTTTTTTTAATGTCAATAATTTGGAATTGTTATAGAGAAATACTTGTCATTATTGTTAATATACGTTCAAAAAAATATTACCATTATCGTGTAAGTGGCTATGTAATATGAACGTGAAATATGAACGTAAAGATGGAGTTGCGTGTCGACGATACATTTGTAAGTGTGCAATGATGTTCCTTTGACTAAATTAAGCAAGATACTAATCGATCACAAATCATCAGCTGGTTGTGAATAAATGTTAATTAAGTATCAACCTAATATAGAGACTTAAGTGCGCGGCGGTGACTGTTGAACAAGCTTGATTTTTGCATGTATAATAGATTACGCTAATTATTACAACTGTTTAAGATAACTATTGATGCGTGCTTATTTAAATATTGTACATAAATCTCTGTATATTTTATGTACTTAAAGCCAGATTATGTATCGAGCTTCAAATGAAATGCCGTGTGTAACAAAATTGTAACAAAAATTATCTTGCGCAACAGCAACGTTCGCCACGTTCTCGATACTTTTTCGACATGCAGTGTAAGTAATATTATTATCACGACTGTATTATTGCTAATCTTGTTCGGACAGAATCAAAAAATCACTCGAGGATTGAATCAAAGAAGAGAGTAACAGTGTCGTAAATGGCACAAAAGTTGAAACCTTAGAACTGTTATAAATATAAAATATATATATATACATACATACATACATACATACACATATATATATATATGTATATATAATATATATTAGGCATATATATATATATACAGAATCTCGCTGTTGTCTTTGATTCAATCAAGTATTTTAATGTTGTACATGTTTATAAGCCACTGACAAACTAAATAGTTGATAATTTCGTTGTTCAAAAGAAAGAGAAGAAAAGTAGAAAGAAAGGCTAATCTCTATCCTTGAATATTATACAGTAATCGTTAAAACTGTCTATTTCTATTAAATAGAAAATATTCTTCTGTATACGTCTGTTGCATTTTTATTACATTTATCAGCCATGCATACCCTTAATTAACATTTGTTGATAAACAATTAATATATAATAATTTATAAAATGTAAAAAAAAAACATTTCTCTTTAATATAAAAAAATTAAATTAAATTAAATTAAATACACCTTATGCCATCACGTACGAACTTTCGTACAAATCTGCTTTCTAAATCAACTCTTCGCATATAATTCGTTGGACCACCGAATCGATGCACCGAATCATTATCTATTTCTTTCCGGAAACACATGTGCTTTTGCGAATATTTGCATTGGAAACGGAAATAATGAATCTCAGGTAATAACCGTCTTAAACGGGTCACGCGGCCGCACAGTGTCGTACTTCATCCGGATTGCCGGTGCTTTGGAACAAATTGCTACTTTGCTTACCGAATGTGCGGCGTAATCCGGCGTGTAATTGCGGCGACTAAGTGGATAACGAACCAAGAACCGTAACACTTAATTATCACAGCTGAACACGCGATATTGCAAAGCGGACCGTACATGGGACACTCGGCCGCCATTAAACCGTGGTAAGCCCGCCGAACCATTTCGGAAAGCAGACAGTTTCTGAACTTATACAGCGTCGCACATGACGCACCTATAACTCTTATAAACTTTATTTCATAAAACTTTACTTTTCTCAGCACTTACTCGACACGTATGCATATATAAAGCTCTTTCTTTGCCTCGAATGATTTATATTTTGTACTACAAAATTCTAGATATTTTTTAAAGCTTTTTTTTATGTTTTTTAATTCTTTCAATATTATATTTTTCACTTTAAAGGATCTAAGTTGTTTTTCATAAATAAACTAGCAATAAGTTACGAAGAAGAAAAGTTTGTAAATATCTTTTCTGTAAGAATTTTCTTTAAGATTATAATATTTATAATCTTACAAACGACACAAATGAGCAAAGTAAAGCAAATGATTGTTTGCGTGGTGCATCTTGCATTCTTTGATAATTGTTGAAAGAAAGTCATACGAGAAAATCGATAGATATAAAAAATTAAAGACTTTCTTGAGTGCGTAAAAATAGACTATTTTCTTCTTCCCTTCAAATTTCGTCAATAAAATGGCAGTTATTTGCTTTTCCCTAAAGGGTGGCTCAAAAGCTACAAAACGATACATCGCCCTCGGTTCACGTTTGTTCGCGTGAAACTATTTTAAGCTGATGGCGACGCCTCGATGCACGTTGCGGCTTTCAAAGTTATTAAAACAATCCATTTACATGCGGATATACGACCGCATAGTGGATTTCTTTCGTTTTTTTTTTAACCCTTTTTTTGCGTCGCTACGGCGACTTCTCTCCGCGACGCATTCTGCTCGGTTTCGCAGCTGCATTCGTCCGTTCCAGCTGATTGCAGTGGCGATGCTCTGTAGCGACGCGACCGTCGCCGACAGTCGTGAAAAGACATATCGTTTGTCTCGCGGCTGTCTCGCGGCTTCCTGAATGATGCAAGAAAATATTTCCCTCATGCATCTATCCTCTTGCACCAATATATGTTAAAGTTAATTTTTGAAGATGGAGATGTAAGGGTAGTCGCGTATTGTAAAAATGTAAATTTGTAATAGCATAATTCTACGCAACATTAGCCAAATGAACGGTTAATATAACATCCAATTCCTTTTACAACCACTAACATTTGCATTT